TTGGTTTGTCTGTCTGTCCGTCCAGCCAATTGCCGGCTGAGGGCAGAAAGGGCGCAAAGGGGAGAGCGGAGCCAAAGCCCAGGGAAAAATCCGCCCCCCCCAGGTCCCCGGGTGAGGACGTACGATGGCGTCTCTCGAGGGAAAGGAAGAAGCTTGCCACATCTGCTAGGACGCAATCTTGACTGCCTCGGGAGGGGGCCTGGCCGTGTCCCGTGAGCACGCCTGGTCCAAAATGGCTGGCAAATGCCTGGCCCCGGTTTCTTTTCATTTCCTGGGTAATAAACGGTTTAAAAGCCTATTGAAAGCATCCAGCATTAAGCTGTCTGCATGCAGACAAGCTCTGGCGCCCTGGAGACCATCAGCCAGGGGAGAAGAGGCATCCAGTCTTAGGACAAACACTTGATGCCATTTGGCCAACCTCTCAAGAGCAGGGAGCTGGGGAGGGCTCCTGGTGACCACATCTCCTCCTCTTGCCTCCGGCTTTCCCGCTGGCTCCCCAAGCTAGTCTCCGGGCCCGGGGTGACTGGAAGGAGCTGCAGCTCAGAGGTGCCTTGGACCTTTGTCAGCATTGGATGAAGGGCATCATCTGCAACCACCGCACAGTCCGCACTGTTGTGAGTGGGGAGCAGAGGACTTCCCCCCACCCCGGCGAAGGAGGCAAAGGGAAGGGCTTCCGTAACGTTGCTGAAGTGGTCCCTGAGTGCCAGTTTATCTGGCTGTGCCAATGTTCCTGTACTGGCACATGAGAAGGTGCTTGAAGGTTTTCTTGAAAGTGGCATTGCAGAGGGCGTAGCAGGCTGGGTTGATGGTGCTGTTGACATAGCAGAGCCAGTAGCCGATGGACCACACTGTTTCGGGTACGCAGGTCTCACAGAAGGTGTTAATGAGGACCATCACGTTGTATGGAGTCCATGTGAGTATGAAGGCTAGCAGGATAGCAAATATGGTCCGGGTGACTTTCTTCTCCCGAGCTGCCATCTGACGCTTCTTCCGTACTTGGCTCCTGGCGATGCTGGCAAACTTCCTGGCAACATTGGCCGGGCGGCTGTTGGCCAGGGAGTTGTGGTCAGAGGCTCCTGTCTTAGCTGGGACGATCTCGATGGCAGTGACACATTCGGTTCCAGTCTGCTTGGTGACGATTTTAATCTTGGACCACTTGGAAGACGGGTTCACCCGGGGGTGGGACGGGCTCTGTCCTTGCCCCGCTGGCAAGATTTCTGCTGTGGGCTTGTCTTTTGTGGTCTGGGTCATGCTGACCGTGCTGGACTCATTGGAAGTCTCCTTCTCCTCCTGTTGGCCAGTGGCCTCAGTCTGTGCTGAGGGCTGGTCATCCACTTTCCCATTCCTCACCTCCTCCTTCACCTCCACAGCCCTCTTGGGGGAGTTGTTGTTGTTCTGTTTGATCAGGGGGCCCTTGAAGAAGCTGAGGGACTTGCCTTTCCTCTCTTTCCTGCTTTCAGGCTTGTGCCTTCTCACCCTGCTCCTGCTGGCCAGGGAGATGTGGATGTACAGCACCGTCATGATGACCACGGGCAGGTAGAAAGCAGCGATGGCCGTGCCAAAGGTCACGGCCGGGTTGGAGAGGAACTGGATGTAGCATTCCCTCTCAGGGACTGTCCTCTTGCCCACAATGAACTGCCAGAACAAGATGGCAGGGGCCCAGAGAATGAAGGACAATATCCACGCAGCCGCGATCATTAGCCCCGCCATCTTGGTGGTCCTCCTGGCTGGGTACGTCAGGGGCTTGGTGACACAGAAGTATCGGTCAAAGCTGATGATAAGTAAGTTCATGACAGAGGCATTGCTCACCACATAGTCCAGGGCCAGCCACAGGTCGCACACCACGGCCCCCAGCGGCCAGTAGCCTTTGATGATGTAGACCGTGTAGAGGTTCATGGAGAAGACCCCGATGATGAGGTCCGCGCAGGCCAGGCTGAAGAGGAAGTAGTTGTTGACAGTCTGGAGCTGGCGGTTCACCTTGATGGACAGCATCACCAGGATGTTCCCCACCACGGTGACGAGGCTGAGCGAGCCGGTGACGGTGGCGGTGAAAAACCGCT